GATTTTGGCGTATGCTGATGCTGCCTTATCACCCAGCATCCAACGGAGCCGCAAAACAAATTGTACAAACGTTTAGTGGAATGCTGAGGAAGGCATTTTCTGAAAATTTGAAGACCGAGATTGATCGGTTGCTTCTCCTATGCAGAAATGCGACCCTACCCTATTGATAATAACACTTAGCCCTGACGTGTTATGGGACCTCCTCAACGCTTCACACCTCTTCAGCCCTTCAAACCCCTTCACTTTTCCAGAAACCGTCATCCCGTCAACCCTTTAGGCGCCAAATGATTGTGAACCATAGACCAAAGAGCAATTTAAAAGTTTATTGGAAATTTACATGCATGTTGTAACTCAAAAAGGCGATAAGAGCCAACGGTTGCTCAAACCTAGGCACAAGCAGCTGTAGACGAAATCGATCAAACCAGATAGGAAAAACAAACTTTTTTGTCCCAAAATTTATATCTCAATGTACTCACAATGTCGCTGAGTAAATTCCTGAGATGCACAATAGCACAGAAACACACTGTCAGTAGCGCGTTTAGCGAAAACCACGAACGCGGAACCAACATCCGACGCCATTGAGAAATCCTCAGCAGAGTCCCGGTGTTGTCTCTGGCGTCTTTTTTGCTCGCTGGATATTTGGAAGCCGGACGGACGAAGAATTACGAAGAACTGCGAAGAACAGGACACTGAAAGGCCTTCTTGATCCGCACACCCAGCTGCTCTTGAAGGTAGGTCCCACGCATTAGAAGGGGAAGCTGACACTGAGCGTCCGTTCGTTGTTGTGCCTTTAGTCTGCGCTCGTTGACGGAGGAAAAACAGGGCGACCAGGTTCTGGCAAAGGATGTATTTCGACTGACTAAACAGGTTTTCTTCAAACAAAAAGCAAATCGTGCCCCTCCCAACTTTTCCACGCACCTTGTTTCCGTTGTAAGCAAGGACTTTGCGACGAGAAATACTGGGGAAAGGCGGAAACTAGGAAAGCTAAAGAAAAAAAACAACACAACAGGTTTTTTTTGTTTTTGTTTTTTTTGTTTTTTTGCACGCGCGCCCGTTTTATTTTTGCTGGGACCGTGCCACGACGGCAAGGGACGGGGAACGTCTCCTCAATTTCAAGACCTCGACGCGCAACCCAATTCAAAATGGCGAAGCGGCTTCCTCGGCTGAAAAGATCCTGAAGGGTTACGTGATCTCTCCCACAGAGCCGTTAAAACCATTTTGAGGGGTGTTGAGGTCGTGGAAAGGAGTGGGACAGACCCCACAAGCCTCTCAAAAAGCTAAAACGGATCCTTTACGAATTCGTATAGGGTACGTCAGGCCCTTTAAACAATTTTGATGGACGTCTCAAATACATCAAACGTTTTTGATGGGTACGTCAAAACATTTTATAAATTCTGGCGAGTCCAATAGACGGATTTTCAACAAGGTACTGAATGACCTTTATAAATATGCGTAGAGGTTGACCAGTTTAACTCATATCATTCTATGGGACAGAATACCTACCTATATCAAAACTTGTCTCCCCGTATTCATACCGGAACTGTATGCGTACGTAACCTGCATGCCTATAGATTTTCCTCTATGCACCCAGGTGCGCCTCTTCAAAGGATGGCATAAAGCTACGAAGCAGAAACCGCTTAAAAAGAGTGATCTACAACCGACAGAAAGAAAAACGAGATTATCAATAATAAAATGTGCGACGAAAATTAGAACGAGAAAGTATGGATATTTGACTTCTATTATTTTAATGAATATATCATACCGGTACACCACACTAACTTTTACCTCAGACTTGTTTCTTTTCCGAGTGCGTCTTTGCTGATATGGCTGTAAAGTTGGAAAGGGGTGTTACTTTGACACTTCAATCACATACCCTCGTTCGTTCTTTAAATGCCCCTAAAGTTATCAGGGCCACGGCAAAGGGGTACAGAGAAGTCTGTGTAAATTTCTACGCACGTCTTTTTTTTTTTTTTTTGCTTTAAAACCTTGAGCATCTGCTCAGAAGAGCGAAACGGCCAATAACTCAGAATATATCTTAAATTCAACGACAATAAGTATTGTGTAGTTATTGAAATTGCATGCGAATAACATGTTAAAATTTTTCACGTCGTATCTACTCTATAAATCTATAAAACGAACAATAATAACCGGTTTTTCCCATCCACGACAATGACATTTGGCGTCTTGTCATAGCGCTCTGGTGGTAGAACGTGTTCGACTGTGCCAGCGTTCTAAAAACAAAATTTAGCAAATCCAGAATTCAAATTGATTAGTGATCAGACATATATTTATCAAAATAATATACATACTGCCTTGTAATCCCCCAAGGCCTAATGTATCTAGATATAAAGACATACGAATATCTGTACACCTAAATGAAATTGGAATCTCGACTCCGTCCTAAACCCAGGAAAACCAAAACTTTCACCGTCACTGCGTAGTTTTTGGGAAATCTGGAGATTTTTGTCCGAGATTAAAACTGTAGATATGTTAGTTTTGTTTGCCTTATACACGTTTAGATTTTTTAAGAGCTCATGCAAATGAACATTGAATATGAGATACTCGCAGAGGGAATATGCCAAGTGAGATTTCAAAATTCCATTGGGTATACCTGTATGACATACTGGCCTGACGGTACAGCAGTAGTTATAGACCACCGGTACGTGGTTATAGGCAACCGGTACGTTATACCGGTCAACAATATAAATATACCGGTACCGGTACGAGGGAACCGGCCGCTTAGCTATATGATTTATTGTTCCCTGTATCCCTTTACCAGCGTACCTGTATCTCTTCACAGGCGACCACCAAACCCCTGTGGGGGGCCGGTATACGATACCGGGTGACCTGTACCTGTTTACCGGAAACCGGTATTTGTATGGGGGTGACCGGTAGGTTATAACGGTGACCAGTACGAAGCTGTATGTAACAGTATAAAGAAGTACAGGGATTATCAGTGGGGAAAGCTCGCTCGCATGCAGTAGTTCAGCCAAGATGCTCATGGGCAGGAAGCTAAAGAAAACCCTAAACCTGATGTACACGGACATACGGAAGGAAGTACTTTTGAGGCAGTTCAAACAAAAGCTACGCTGTGATCAAGGACCGCGCGAAGGAGCACTTCAGCTCGGGCAGACTCTTTTTGCCCGATATTTCAAGAGAGGTTCTCGTGGATTCATAGAGTTATGCTGCAGCCATCAAGTTTGTCAACAGTACAATTAAAACTCAGTAAGGTTACTCGTTGTGACCGCCATGGTGATCATTTTCAAGAGCGACTTCTTTCACACGGGTCAACAGGAAACAAACTGCACGGGTTCGACATGTTTTCCGGTGAACAAGGTGCAGCACGCACGACATAGTGTTCTGGAGTCAGATTCGTCGGCTAAAAGTTTTTTTAAGAAAACGTTCTAAGAACACTGCAAGAAAATGTCCACATCCTCTGTCTGCAACTCAGAGAAGTACAGTGATCCGGTACAATAAACTAACGAGAAACTCGGTGAAACTTTATCACCAAAAATTTAGAGCTTAATATGATATTTGCTTTGAGTTTTAGGAGTCAAGAAGTTTGCAAACTGTAATATTAAACAGGAGAGGAGCCTTATGATGATGCCAGTTAAACCACGCTTTGGTGGTTCGTGGAATAATGAAGTCTTTGTTATAATTGTAAAGTACACGCTCTGGAACGATGCCCTATGTTCTTTCCTTCACCAGGCTTCCTTGGGTAACTTCATAACAGTTCCTAACTGTTCTACGTTTGTCACATGCATCACAGAAAGAAAACAATTGAAAGATAGCAATCCTTACTTTCGGCGCACGATGCTTAATTATTGTACAAAGGATTGCAAGAGCGCAAAGAAGCTGAATTGTAAACATTATTCAAAATGATTTGAAACAGTAATGTCCGACCCACGCTGCATAGCAATGCTTAAAAAAGAACTAAATCTGATGCGAGAAAGCAATTTCTAACAAAACAAGTGCTACAGTTTTCTTTCAATGCAACTGACAACAATAAAGTGGACCATGCTAAAGACTACTAGAAACGGCATATTCATCGTGTGCTCGTCATGTGCTTGCAAAAGTGAACTGAAATGGGTTGCCGCGCTAGATCGTCAGTTGACGGCGGTTTCAAGCTCGTTCGCCTTTTCCTCTTTTTTGGATCTGTCCTGTGTCTTCTCTGTTTTCTTCGTCATCTTTCTCTTGCGCTTTGAAAGGTAATAAATTATAGTAAGCGCCATAACCCTCCTCCCCTCGCGAATACTTCAGTTATCAGAAAGGTCCAAAACCCAGTTTAGGCACAACAAAACACAGACACAAAAACAGACAATTTCAAGACGCCTTCTTCGCGCTTGACTGAATCCGGGGGCTGTAAATCACTCATGAAAACACAAAAATTCAGTAATCTAGCACTTTTTCGAGGAGCTTGATTCCCATTGGCTCGTAGCGTTGGTAGCTTTCATACTTCAGATAAAGCCGAACGTACCATTATAAAGTCCTACAAGCAGCATTGTAAGAAGCAGAATTCTTTTAAAGTTTTGATTAAAGCATACTCCTAACACATTCGCCTCATTAAGATATTCAAACTTGTCTTAATCATTCTGCTAAACTGGTGGTACATATAGGCGTGTAGTGTGCGCGAAGCATTCAAAACCTCCCAAAGCTACCCGTAACAAAGCAAAACAAATTCTAACGCAGGTGTAATGCACACAGGACACATTCTGTGAACCCCAGATTGGTTGTAACAAGCGTACACACGTAGAACGGCTGCAAATAGTCGATTTGTTTTTATCAATACACAATCATCAAAGGACTACCCGGGTTTCTCAGAATGATGAGGGCAGGATGTTTTGCTAAGTTGGTTTTTAGGTTAGTGACAGAATTAAGATGCTTTCGTACGTGTCCTGGGATAGATCAACGCACACACAAAGTGAACGTCAGGATTAAAGACTAGTCCTTTTTCATCATTTTATATTCTAGTAGCTGTTTAATAATCCATTTCTGTGCAGCTAAATTGATACTGGACAGTATGAACGCCACCGAAGATCCATGCACTGATTTCTATGCCTACGTGTGTGGAAACTGGACAAACTCCCACAAGATTCCTGATGACAAGGCAATCCTAGGATATCATCACATCCTTACTGATAAAGCCGAGGAGGACATAAAACGTATGTTTCCCTTATAGTATTCACTTCACCCTCTTTTTATAGCTATGAGGATGGGTTGTGATGATCACCATTTATTGGATTTCATTTCTTTGCCACAAAATACCGATACACTCTATGAAGACAAAAGTAGTGGCGGAAGTCGTGTCTTTTTATATTCACGCGAACAATTATTATACCAAGTAGCGATATAATATTTGTACAACATACAATGTAAGATCTTAAAACGTAAGATCAATTGCTGTTTTCAGGGTATCGCAGTGCTTACCCAATGGAGATATCTGCCTCGGGCGCAATTTAGTCGTCTTCTTCCGCTCATCTTTCATTTTCCACTCACACTACAAACCGGCATTGTGTGAATATTCATGAGTGGTGTGTGGTACGATGCAGCACCTTATGTAATTTACATGGATATGTGTTGCGGACTTATACACAGACGCATATGTACGAAATGAGTAAAAACGCATTTCATGTAATTCTCATTTTATACCTCAGTCTAAGGTGTTCAATACTTATCTTGCAATTATGAATCAATTCTAAGTAGCCTAGCTTCCACTTTTCTTGTTCAGACTGCTAGCCGGCGTTTCGCTAGAGACGCGTATTTAAATTTTAGGAAAAACTTGTCTGCCAGTAGCAGGCTTCCCGAAGAACCCGTTTTTACTTCATCTTTCTAGCATTTGCTACCTTCTTCTTGTTAAGACGGATTCACGCTTCAAATTGAATAAAAGGATAATTACTGCAAAGGCTGAGGAAACCTTAGAGTTACACTGAGGGCTTACTTAGAGCCGTGAAATAAGCTGCACTTCAGATAGCTTCAGGGTAACAAGACTGCATTCATTTTGGTTTTGTCGATTATTGCTGCCAGTCATCTTAAGCTATATCTTATATCATAAAATACTGTTTTTCGCACTCAAGTTTTGGTCTACGACGGAGCAAATCAATATCGCCGGAGCATTTTGGTGCCGTATCTAAAACTTGCAAGTTTCAATTCAGAAAAGAAACTGTCGCCCATCGCACCCTCTTTGCACTATGAACCAAAATGGCGGAAGCGACAAGTAGATCGGCGAATCGTGGGCGATAATCTAAGCGTATCCTTATTGAAATAGAGAAACTTATATAACGAGCTAGCGTAGAGTGAAAAATAATAATGTAGGTGCGTATTTCGATTGAGTGGAATCACCATCCGGTGCACAAGTTTACAAATATATGCCATGAACCGTCATTCATTCCCTGTGAAGCAATAAAAAACATTATGAGGCTACCGATTTATTGAGAGTTCCGATTACCACATTTCACTAAAAGTTCATAGTTTCCTAAACCAAATAGATGATATTGAACTAAGCATGTGCCTTTTCTATTTAGATATTTTATTGAACGCCACGACTAAGGAAGATGAGCCGCAGAATGCAACTGATAAGGCTATTCGCGCCTACAAAGTCTGTGTGTGCGAAAGTACGTATCTTTGCTTTTTTTATCAAACAGTGAATTCACGATAACTTTTTTCTACACATAAATAATAGACGTTCTTGCGTATTTCACAGTGCTATATCTACGCAAACAGCTCAAGCTTGTTTAGGCCGTGTCTAACAAAAAATAAACGTAACAGGCGTACGTAGACCGAAAATTGGATGAATTGGACGGCGGTTGTTTAGGTTGTGAAATGGAGCGGGGAATTCACGTTTTGTTACAGCCTTGCAACGGGTTTGCTGGGAGGGATAAAATACGTGTTCCACCTTAAAATACATATAGACAGCTTTGTATAGACACACTTGTATTCGCAGTTATATATGGGCAGTTATATATTGGCAGTCTATATAGGCATATAGAAATATAGGCAGAGTATGATTATACTTTATATATTAATAAGAGGTGTGAGTAATGTAAAATGTTTTTTCTCAAATCGAATTTGAATTGATTAGAAGCCAAAACTTTCAATGTAAAATCCAAAGTGGATATCAAAAATGTTAATAACAAGACATGAAAACAGCATATATCAGGAGAAGAAAAAAAACTACAAGTTTATTATTCTGAAGAACACATGGAACTAGGAAAGGTTAGCGCGTCTAAAAACAGTGTTACGACAACACTCAAACGACTAGCGTAAGAAACAGCTACCGATGTGTCCACCCATTCACTCGCGGAAATGCAGCGAGCTGGATAAATTGAGGGCTGTGGCTCAAGTTTGAATTTGGTGACGTCTTACGTCACCTAGTCCTGGCACCTCGCTTAAAGCCGTGGGGGCGATGGGCTAAGGGAAGCGTTGAAGAGAGAGTGAGTAAGCAGTGGAAGCTGGTTGATGTTACGCATTTTTGAAAAACCGGAGACGGCGGGCGAAAAAAGAGACAACACACAAGGCGTCTCAAACGCAGCGACTCACTGTGTGTTGCCCCCTTTTTCGTACGCCGTCTCCGGTTTTTCAAAAATGTATAACGAAAGAGGCCGGGCTCATTATCGCATATTATATGTACTTTGATCATAATTTGCCCTATTATGGACGTTGCAACCAAGAAAACGGTCTATAGTGCACACTAATACTTACGTTGCGGGTATGTTTAGACAGCGGGAAGCTAATCAGCCCCAATGGACGTCTGGTGTCTCCGCTGAAGAGCAGACATTTGTCCGGTAAAGTCCCACTGCTAGCGTGTTGTCTTTAGTGTGCATCCCACAGATATATCACTGCACGCCGGTGTGATGCTCGGTCAGATCTAAATGTGCAGGGAAGGGGATTAAGCCCAGGCATAGCATCCTCTACACTCACAAAGCCTGGCAGTTCGACGACGGAGCCACAGGGTGTCCGGTCGCAGATTTGGAGCGCGAGGATTTGGTAGCAGAGAGAATTTCTCGAAGAACCTGGTATTCAGCGCACAGCTTTTGCAGTGGCTAGGATACAAAACATGGTTCTCAAACCCGACGAGAAAACAAACGATAACGCGAGGAACGCCAGGAGCACGAGCGGACATTTCATCACTCGGGAGAAGTATGTTTCGGCCTCTCGCCGCAGCGGGGCGCCCATCCCCTGGCTTTCCTCTCATCCGTTGTCTGCCGCTCTACCTTTTCACTTTCGGCGGCCGCGTCTCGTGGCGATCTGCCAGGCTGTGTCAGTACAGAGGAGGCTATGGCCCAGGTCAACGTGTATCCTTGCTACGTCGCGCTTGCACTCTTAGCCACCGATCCCTCATAGTGCACAAAGCTGGCTGCAGCAGGTGCTGCAAGGTTCCTGGAATTTGAAATATCAATATGCGTGGATTCTGGGTTTTCGTCGAGCGTACCCGAGAAGCCGGGAGCATGACTGCATCCTTCGAGGAGCACATGAAATGAACTATGCTTTTACGGTTCGTGTCTTAGGCGCCAGTTTCCGGGTTGAGCGGCGTCGGCGTCGGCGTATTCGCCCGTTGCATTGGGACGTTTCCCATAATTACGTCGGACGTGACGTCACGCATGACGTCACGAGGGTAATATTTCTCTCTAAATTTGGCGGGAAAATGTTTTGCTGAATTTTGAGGGAAATGGTTTCGCTTAATTGACGGTGAAACTTTTTCGACAAATTTGGCGGGAAATTTCTCGCTAATTTTAGCGGGCAAATTTTTGCGCTAAATTTAGCGTGCATATTTTTTCTAGCGGGGCACATTTTCCCCCAGTATTAAGCGGGGAATAGTTTCTGCTAACTTTAGCAGAAAAATATTGCCGCTAAATGTAGCGGGGAAATTTTTCCACTAAATTTAGTGCGAAACTTTTTCTGGTACATTTAGCGGGAAAAGTCTCCCGCTATTTTACAAAGTGATTCCTTAGTCTAGACTGCCGTATATGCATGCGTTGTTTAGATCCAACACAGGCCTGTAAGGACTAGTTCGTCATATGAACTGCGTTCCTGAATAAGACCTATGCTTTGGCCTCCGGTCCTTATATTCGATGCATCGAAATATTTACGATCTCGAATGCAGGATTGTGACAATCGAATCAAATTATTCGGACAATCATTATTCGATTCGAATTTCATACTGAAATGTGGTCACACCACTTTTTTTATTTAAAATGGGGAGATATAAATCCGGTCATTAAAATTCGGATGAGCGCATCGACAGCATGGAACACAAAAGGGCGTAAAAAACTAAATTTATGTTATTCGGCTTAATTGTATCGCAAACTTTCTATAAACATTAAGTTTTGCTCAAGATATATGTGTAACGGGCACTATTTGAATATTTTATTTATTAAACAGCTGTGGACGAGGGAAAAGAACTTGAGGACCTGCTGCAATTACTTAAGGAGAAAGGTTTGACCAAGTGGCCTATACTGAAAGGGGAAGATACACCTTATAAAGACTACAATGGGCTACTCAAGAAAACAGGCTTTTCGCAACTAATTGATTTTGAAGTGAAACGGGACGCTAAAAAAATTGAAAAATATGCGATATACGTGAGTATTGAGCACCTTTTGTCCAAACCCTCCCGATGCTTCTCAACGCTTTTTACACGCGAACAATGCCGCTCGACATGAATGCCGCATTGCAGGCGCTCGAGTTATAGGAAGTAAAACAGAACAAAGTGTTCTCAACTAACGAGTCACGTGATAGAGAACACGGAACCCCCGGAACGTGGGGGGAGGGGGTCGTCAGATCACTCTGGCGGCGCACTTGATATCCGAGAGACCGTTTTGCTATCCCCGAACATCAAGTAAACAGCGGCAAATCGCTGCCTTATTTTTTGTACGTCCCGATGGTCGCGCTATTTGTATTCGGGCTCTACCGAGTTCCGACACTTTAGAGATTTCGCGTGACCAATCACGAGAAAATGCGGCTATTGGTTTTAAAAACCACACCGACACATGCGATAGTATTGAAGATCATATACACGAAAATGGGGTAACTGTGTATTCTACGCTTGCGGAGCAGAGTACTGCCACAATCTCTTAATTTTTACCTCATGTATTACGGAGGAAGCGACCGTCGGTCATGCAGGAGACACTGCGGCCGTCACAGGAAATAGCGGTTCACCCCGCATGCGCCGTTGTGCGTCAAAAGTGCACGAGCGCGAGCTGCGTCGTCGCTTCCCGCGTCGTCAGCTCGTACACCGCCGCCATGAAACAGCCCTTGCGTTATAAAACGAACGCCATTACACACGTCTAAGTGGAACACACAATGTTCAAAGGTTCAAAAGGCCTCTTGTTTGTCAGACTTCCGAGTAAAAGCTACTTTTCGCGAACCAGGAGCGAAAAAAATATAGGCATCGGCCTTTACCTTCAAAGTTCTATAAGGCATGCAACACAGTATATAAGACGCGATCTCTTTAATTTATTTAGAAGACTACATACGGAGACTAGTATAGTACATGTCACGTGATATGTATATATATATATATATATATATATATATATATATATATATACACAAACATTCTCGTGGCGGAATTGGAGAGTCGGCTCCATCCAGATCGTTCTATCGAGCCAGATTTCTACAGTCGGATTTTCTTGGCTCCAATTCATTCTAGAGAGGCTGACTACATTAATGATATCCAATCAATCATTTAGTTTTGGGGTTTACGAGTTGGAAGCCGTCCGTGACTTGAAAGCTGGCGAATATTGGTGTATACAGCATAGCTGCCTATGGTCATGGCTTGGCTACGGTCACCGATGTGCCGCTGTTGAGTATGAGATTAAAGCTTAGTTAACTTAACTCTGGCGCTCTGGCACACACATTGAAGCTCGGGCTTATTATGCTGAGCTAAAAGAGGAGGTGTTACAATCGCGTGAACGAGAGCGGTCCCACGATTCAATTCACAGAGAACACAACCTAGGGAGGAGGGGAAGGGGGGGGGGGGGGGGGAGGCGGGGGCAGCAACGCCACCTTGCACTTCTAGGGTAAGACAAGGAAGTTTCTGTAGACGCTTCCTTCGCCAAACGTCTGAGCGAGCGAAAGTGTGCGAGCAAGGATGGAAGAGTGAGAGTAGTTTGAAATTAAGGGTGCAGCGCCGTGTTTACACAGTTTGCAATGTGTACACTCTTTTGCACACATGTTCATTTTTGGAGAGTTGAAAGTCTATTATTACGTAAGTCCAGTGCTTTTATACGCATAAGAATATGTAGCAAATAAACCTAATGCATGTATACACCACGTCAGTACATGTTTTCAGTGCTCCGAGTAGTTACAATTGTTAATTATATTATTCGTTATTTCTCAAGCTCAACCGAATTGCCTTCCGCTGGCTTTCTCGATACCACCTGCTTTACCAAACTGAAGGAGTCAACGGAAAAAAAGTACAGGCCTACAAAGAACTTATTAAGAAATCTGTGAAGCTCTTCAGAAACGACACAGATGAGAACGGGGAGGAGACACAGGAAGTTTCCGAAGAAATTTTGCAGTTCGAGGCCGCACTCGCAAACGTAATATATTTACCTTTCCTCTATTGGATTGAAAATATATTATTTTTTAAACTTTTGTCTAATGTCAGCTCAGGTGATATTTGTTTCAATATTTTGCAACGGGCCCTCCTCTGTTTTTTTGTTTGTTTTGTTTTCATTTCCCGAGAACAAGAGTAGTATTCATGATATTTAGTACAATTCTACGCGTCTTATATTTGCACCAGAGTTCTAGGTATACTGTATAAAGCGCGCACTTTTACCATTTGGCGAATACTGAGACACAACAGAGTTTCACAAGCATCAAATTTCAGGCCGGTCCTACAAAATGCAAATTTATGAGGCTGTCGATGCTTTCTACAGCATTTCAAATCCTTGCCTATGTTAAGTGCTGGTATATTTGTCATGAAGCTCTGAGGTAAAGCAAAATTTATCATAGACATAATTCAGTTAAGACGGCAATGCTTATTTTAGCTTGCACGTTATCACAATCACAATCAGTGATTTCAAGACTCATGAAACATTTATGAATGATTGATTTTTACAATCAGTCATTTATGACTGTTTCATGAGTCTTGAAATCACTGACTGGTTTAAGCGCATTAAAAACTTTGATTTGCATAACATATAGACGAGTAAAACAGAAAACTCACCAGGTGAATTGCAAGCTGTGATATGTTGACGTAAGAGAAGAGATAAGTTATATTACAGCCAGTGGACATGATATCAAATGTACAGTTCTCAGGAGAAACACATTTTCTGATAGTTTCTTTTTACTCGGCAAAATATTGTTCAAAGTGTGTTCAGTTGTCAAAGCAGTGTCGTAAATCTGCACACTTATGTGTAACTTATATAGGAGCAGGGACTTATATATTAAATTTCTTTTTTTTTTTTAATCCGCTCGTTGTACATTCTGTGTTTTGTAAAATTATTCCCTCTCACTGCACTCCGACTATGCAAACGATATGTGTGGGCGTCTAAATAAGAAAGAGGGAAACGTTTGGGCACCCATCCCAAACACGGGGGTTCTCCAGGCGTGATTTTACGACAAATTAAATAACTAGACAGAAAAACAAAAACTCTAACCAGTAAAGAAATACTGTGGGGTAGATGCCAAGCGCATAAAAATGCAGACCCTCATTCGACTTTCATTTTTCATTCTTTTTAAGCTCACCTTAACAAGCGTAAGCAGTAACTTGTCATCACTCTACAACGAAGCGAACATCTCCATTTTGTCCGAAAAGTCTCCAGAGGTAAGCGGAACGCGAACTTTAATAGTCACTTTAATGACAACGCGTTTCCCACCTACTTAATGGGAAAGCACATTGAAATCCTTTTTTCTATATGTATGTTTGTTGGGATAAGCCGGAACCCGTACAGTACTCGTACATCTCGATTAACGAGCTGCATCTGGACGTGACAGAACAACGTGCACTTGGTTACATTGAAGGGAATTATTTTCCACGTACTACCGCAAAATAGCTTAATAGATCCCTTCTAACTTTCGTCTAAGCATTTGGGAAGTTGACCCGAAATAGTGTTCTTGAAATGAGGGAGAGAGATGCGAATCATAAAAATAAAAACAAAGATTAGTCTAGGCTGACACTCCGGGTTGGCTCATGTTTGCGAGAGAGGGGAAGAGGTGACTAAAGGCGAAAATAAAATACAGACGGAAGAGATATAACATAATACACAATACAAAAGACCACGCGAGCACACACACACCACTGCATATAGTAAATTTGTTCTACTAACGGGGGACAAAAACTTAGCTAGCCGAAGAAAGGCAAGGAAGCTTTTTATAGAGGCACTGGCTATGCGAAATCTATAATTTTATTGCACCAAGCCACTGGAAATGATCACTAAGCATCATCACCAAATGTAAAATAGAAATTGGGTACTTGCTAACAATATATAAAAAAATCAAGGGCCATTCTGCTCTGCGAAGGTGGATGACCAGCGAAGTTGTTTCGCACGGGACACAGAACCGCCACGAAGAGCCAGAGAAACTAGACACCTGCGACGGGACCGTCACCTGACGGAAACTAGACAAGCGCGACGGGACCACCAACCCGGGAGAGCGAAAGGAAAAGAAACTAGGCATGCAAGCGCTTAGAATGGCGACAAACTTAGGGCGGTGCGAGCGTAGACATGGCCGACGCGGATCGCACAGCGGAAAATCTTTTAGAAACCTTTATTATCTACCTGAGAGGCTATACTGATATTGAAAATGATGCCTATTAATAACTAATCTACTGAATAGACCTAATGTGAAATTTGCCAAGCATCAAGGAGAATCCAGGGAATGGTGTTTCACGTGCCACACGTGCCGGCGCCGGCAGCAGTGACAGTTCTAAAGCAAAAGACTAAAACAAATGGCACCTTGCACGCGCGTTCCTCAAAGCTTTATTTTGGTCATTTACTTCGAATCTTTTATACGGGAAAGTCGTGCGCGTGCGACATGTGTGGCGGCGAGAGCGCAGATTTTTTGTTCACGCATACGAAAAATCCAAGGGACCCTAGCCATAAACAGCTTGGCTGTAAAACTCGATTTTTTCTTTGTTCCTGCGCATATGACCCTTCCTGCTTCTTTAAAACTGGAATGTTGAAATACGGTCATTTGCGCGCTTCTCATTCGCATGTCGTCTACGTCTTCCTTTCCATCGGAAATTATAATTAGGATTTCGATCAAACGTCATTTCATGGCACCAAACATAACTCGACCGAGCACTCGACAATACATTAATCGAAATGTGAAGGTCAGTTGCGACGAAAAAAATTATCAACAGAGATACCGTAGATTTCTGTGTCACTGGAAAATAGCGCGCAGATGATGGAAAACTTATATGTCTGTCATTTGCAGGCTTTGTCCACGATATTTCTAGAAACCAAATAGCGGCCTGGTTTATCCATGATGACTCACAAAAACTGTTTCATAAATGTCATTAATGAATGTCAAAGATATGTAACTTGCGAATCGTGTGAATTCCTTCTCCATCTACATCATTTTAAAGGCAAAAAAAAAAAGCACGCGTTCGCGCGCAATTGCTTCCTCTTCTTTTTGCGGGTTGCTTCAATCTTTTGTTACATCATCGTGATAGGCTTGAGGGCATAAAAATAACCAAACATCAAGTGTTCAGTACCTTTTTTAAAAATAGGGAGCATATGGGTAGCAATCCCGCTCCCACAAAAATAGAGCCAGTTCTGGCCTACCTGCCCAAAAATGCAGACGTCTCACAGTTGAAACCTATTCACGCATGCTCGTTGTCACCTTGCATATGTCAGCTTGCAAAGGCTACCGTAGCTTACGCAGAGCTGAAGCCCTGGACAACTACCAAAACAAGCGACGTCATCTTCCGCTGTCCTTGGCTTACCTGATCTGTAATTTTTTCCTCACGCTATGCGAAAGTTCTACCTACGGACAAGTTGAAGCACCTGAGGCGAGCTCTCGACGTTGGGAAACAAGCAGTCAGGCCGCTCGAAGAACATAACAGATAGATGCGGATTTACAGAATTGCCGTAAAGAGAGTCGCTGGATGCGTCTACAATTTGATATCTGTCCTAAAATCTCAAGTACCCGTCGAAAAGGTGGACGATTAGAAACGCCATATATGCTTGGTACATAGCTATAGTAATATTATAGAATAACATGCCACGTGAAAAGTGTTACATCAACTTTTTTGCGCTAAATTTAGAAGAAAAATTTTTCCGCTAAATTTTGCGTGACGTTAAGTAAAGGAAAGTGACGTCACACATGACACACGTGTGACGTCACGAGGGTAAATCTTTCACGCAAAGTTTTCCGGGAAATGTTTCTGTTAAATTTAGCAGGGGAGTTTTCCCGGTAAATTTAACGGAAACATTTTCCCGCTAGATTTAGGGGCAAAATTTCCCGGGTAGAGTGGCGTCGCGTGTGACGTCACGAGGGTAAAATTTCCCTGCTAAATGTTCTCGCCTCATTTAGCGGGAAAATTTTACCCTCGTGACGTCACATGTGACGTCACGTGTGACGTCATTATAGGAAACGTCGCATAATGCAACGCGCCGTTAAGCCGACTGCGACGGCAACGGCGACGCCGCTCAAGCCGGAAACGGGCACCTAAGAGATGTGCTCTAAAAGGATGTCACAGATTTCTCGTTTACCGCTTCTCATGAGGGCGCAAATATAGTTTCTCCTCGGTGACTCCATGGTTAACGCAGATACATAGGCGTACCACATCTTTCATACAGCTTGTCACGTTTTTGATGGGTCCTTGACTTCTTTGTTCGAAGGAACTCATCTACTCCCTGCCGTCTGTGTTGGTTGCCGAGTTTGTAACGTCCGCTTAAGTTCCTTCACGTAGGTTTCCCAAAACGTAAGGACAGCCTAGCAGTTATCAAACCAGTGCCTCGCCGTACCCTCCAGTAAACACTAGACGACCTAAAGGTGCTATGCTTCTTAACGAGCCACACGTTCATAGTGGTGAAGACCGTCCTCAACATCGTCATGGACATCGCGAGGGACTAGAGTTGGCTTGCGAGGCCCCACAGGCAAGGTCAGGACAGGTCACCCTCCAAAAGAAATTGTGGACTGCCGAACATAGAAGTTCACTGAATTCTTTATTTTCTGCTCGGTCTTGCCAGGCAGAAAATTAAATTCAAGAGCTTTCTTCGCGACAAGGCGGCGCAATTGGATTTAAATGACGAGTTTCCCATAATGTTGTTCGTGCGTTATTTGCGCCCCAAAAATCTACTACCGATGTCGTGAGTGACAATTGAAGAAATTGTAGAAGACGTAAGAAAACTGAAGACTTAATATGGCGATCGAGCTTCTACGTGTCAAAATAAAATACAATAACTGTCGCGAATCTCAGCATAACATGAGAATCGAACACTAACGTGTGACTGCCCTACAGAAAAAAAAAAAAAAAAAAAACATTTGAAATTTAAACGGGTAGCAAACTGGTCGACCGGTTTGAATTAAACGGGTGGCAAACTTGTCGGTCTGTTTGGATCAAACGTGATTATGGGATACGGGAACCCATTTGAAACGGCACCCGTTTGATACGGGTGCCCGTTAGACCAGCCACGTGAGCACACATCTGAACGACCACTCGGATGGGCAAATTATTTAATAGCCCTAAATGGGTATCGTCCGGAAGGTTGGTGATCAAACTTAGTTAAGACATCCCGAAACTCATAAGCCTATTTATAACAGGGAGGAAACACGTTGAAAAAAATGCGCTCGCCCAGGTGCTTGCAAATGGGCAGGAAAACAGACAAAAAAATTGTTTTCAATTCTCATGAAAGTTTATTACAGCCTATTCTGTAGACAAGTAGAAACATGCAAGCGATCTGTGAAATCTGAAGAGGCACTCTAAGCGTTTATACAACTGAGAAGATTGCAAAGCAAACAAGAACGGAAGTAATTCTAGACTATAATGGCAGACTTTCGGAAAACTTATTCTCCCGGCTGCCGCGAGAACAGACGCTGCATAATTCTATAGATAATCTCGACGTGTAACCGGGGGAGAACGGTCAATCGTTGCCAACAAGTATGCAAGAATGCACTTACCATAATAACAGCGGACTTGAAAGATGTAATCCAAGATAATTGCCGACACGGTCAAAGCAGGACAACCGCACAAACACTAAAACGAGAAGGAAGGCTCCTTAAAGTTTCAACACGATGCGGCGCACAATCTGTCATTTGCCGAATCCAACAAAAACACAAGAATTCCTGAGTCCTTTGAAGAATCGCTTGTTGCCGATATACGCGTAGGAGTTTCCGAACATTCGGTGCACATCCCTTACGTTGTCGAGAGACATCCTAGTAAGACCGCAGGGAAAGGCGGCAGATCGAAGCAGGCAGGACAAACGCAGTGTTGCCAGATGGCCCCATCAAAAACCGCCAAACGGCTGGGAGGTATAGCCCAAATATAGCCAAAGCCGTAAAAAAAATATAGCCCAAAATAGCCGAGGCTAAAAACAATGATTTTTAAGCCTCATATATTCACAATTTCTCACACTCCTGCAATACAAGCTACAAACCTTGTTTCAACCCTCAGATGCACCCCCTTTTGTGTACATTATGTTACTTGTAAATTTTTCAAAAAAGCTTCGGGAGGATGAAAATCCGTACAAAACTGGGCCTTCCTTCGGTTTTCAGAAGTACAAAACAGACAAAGACAACTTTATTTTGAAGCCCGGGAGATATAATCATACAGTAAAAGAACAAAATACAAAAGCAGAACAGTCAGAACACTGGGTGTTTCAAACCAGACTACCAATATCTCAGGTCCTTACAATATCCCACCCGCCTCTTTTTTTGTGAAGAATATTAGTGTCACCCATTCATGTTCATGTTATTTCTGATTGTGTTCTCCTTTCTTGGGGAGGGCAGCGACTGGAAGGTAGTCATGCGTTTAGCGGTGAAACTGTGGACTTCTCATTTTTACAAACTTGGGTGACTAAGGATTCTCACAATGGGCACCAAAGCAGCATTTGGAGAGTTCAGTCTACGCCCGGGCAGAGCCATATCTGTCCGGGTTGAAGGCGCGCTACCGGACCTGTGGTAATAGTGCAATCTGTTTGGTTTGCTCCACTGCGCTGTAGGGAGACCGCTTGAACTCTGCTAGCATTGCTTCACTACACATTGTGAAAACCCCGAAGTTTGTAGAAGTTTGAAGCCTTTCTCCTTCCTCTCTCCTCTCGACTAGCCAAAAGAGAAACACATTTTTTTTTTGAAACTAATTAAAAGTTTGAAAATTAACTAGCCGAACCTCAAAGTTCGGCGTCGAACCAGAGGTTCGACAAAAGTTAGCTGCATTCTTAGAAATAGCCCAAAATAGCCACATAGCCAACCACGAAATTTCGACGTCAACTAGAAAAAAATGTAGCCCAATTTGGCTACATATAGTCCAATCTGGCAACACTGGGTCACAAACGAAGTTGCAACGGACAACAAGCAGACAAAGAAAAAAGCGACTGCCAACGCGCGCGCTGCCGGATCTTGCTATGCTTATCAGCGTGCAGCGTCGCCTCCCATCTTTCTGGTCACGTGACAGAGCTGGCCTGAGAGGAGGGAGGGCGCGACGCCGAGGTCAAGGCGCAGGACACCGGAACCCCCCCCCCCCCCCCCCCCCCCCCCCCCTTTACCAACCTTCCCCTCAAACAAGGTGGAAAGTTGGGCGAGTTGGTTGATGGTCATATTGAATGGGTTAAAACAGCGCAGAAAGACGAAGGACCAGTAAAAGAAAACACACAGACACAGCGCTGACTTACAACTGAAATATTTACTGCTGCACCATTCAGCAAGTAAACTTGAAGGAAGACAAACATAAAAGCAATCGCCCCGAAAACACGTCATCTTCCACTCAAGCCGACACGTGGCTACACGTATTTCCCCGCCTTTCTGATAAAATTCATTTCATCACTAACTAGAGCAAGTGATGGAACACTAATACACTTGCCTGCGTCATGGTTGGCAATAAAAAAAGCTTCGTCAATCTCCCGAGCATACTTATTTTTATGTCGGGCTAAAATCTTAATTTCATTAAACATTGGAGAGCACGCACATCTGTCACAGTGGACCGCTAGGTTGCCAGACGGGGAGGAGCGTTAACGACCGGGCGAGAGAACATTCTCTGTCCTTACGCTCCTCCCCGTCTGGCAACCTAGCGGTCCACTGTGACAGATGTGCGTGCTCTCCAATGTTTAATGAAATTAAGATTTTAGCCCGACATAAAAATAAGTATGCTCGGGAGATCGACGAAGCTTTTTTTATTGCCAACCATGACGCAGGCAAGTGTATTAGTGTTCCATCACTTGCTCTAGTTAGTGATGAAATGAATTTTATCAGAAAGGCGGGGAAATACGTGTAGCCACGTGTCGGCTTGAGTGGAAGATGACGTGTTTTCGGGGCGATTGCTTTTATGTTTGTCTTCCTTCAAGTTTACTTGCTGAATGGTGCAGCAGTAAATATTTCAGTTGTAAGTCAGCGCTGTGTCTGTGTGTTTTCTTTTACTGGTCCTTCGTCTTTCTGCGCTGTTTTAACCCATTCAATACTTCCCCTCAAGCATTCTATTAAAAAAAAAGAACTTGCGGTTGGCTTTTTGTGCACGATAAGGAAAGAGGGACATTTAAGACAAACAGACATGCAGTCAATGCTAGTGGAGAGAGTGCACCGACCGCTGTACACGCGCTTTCCTCCTCTCTTCGAATTGCCACTGCACGCCGCGTTTGCAGCCTCGGAAAGTAGGCGAAACGCGCGCATTTCAGCACGCTGGAACGTTGGAAATGGCGTCGGCCAGAAGCTCGAATTGCGCCCGAGCCAAAAAAGCACCCAGTGAGAGCTCGTAATTTGACTGCAGCAACGTCGGGCTTGCTCTCGCAATGCTCGATGTTCTTGCAGCCACGTGTTCGCGCTTTAGCTTCGTTGAGTCTTGAATTGAGGTGAAATGGAGCAGAAGGGGTCAAAGCTCCCACATAAAGTACAATTAGCTCCATTGCTATTTCCACTCTGATATACTCCAATGGCCTAACCATTTTTTATGAATCTTGACATCAGTTTGCAGAAAGATAATCCTCCTTGTGTTTTCTTTTTTATAATGGCATTCCAGATTGAATGGCTGCAAATACTCAATAATGTGTTTTCAATCGCCAATATAACCCTTGAAGGAAATGAACCAGTAATTGTGCTGCATCCGCAATATGTTTATGGTATCGGGAAAATTCTGAAGAACACAAGTTTGTAAGTCATTGCATTTTTATAAATATTTTCCGCGCCACGAACATCAAGGGAAAAATTTAGATACATAGAAATTACAACAATTTGAGGGGTAATAGTGTACCTCATGTTACGTTATCCTCCGAGGCATATAGGTAACAATACATTAGCCACGCGCACTTTTCCTGATAGCATGACAATTACAAGAGTTCATGTTTTCCACAGAGGAGGCTTTTTTGAAAAATGCATAGCTATAGGCCTATATATGTGCTTATTTCATTTTCGTAAGTTTTATAACATCTGACAAAAACGCTTCAGCACGCTTTTCAACAAGAGGTGTATTTGCAATAAAGCAATATGGTTTTCAAAACAGGAAAAAAGGTCAACCGAAATAGCGTTATTTGTTATATCGAAGTAAAAATAATGAATTATTTTCAAAATAAACAAATTACCAATAGAACTGAAATATTTTTTTTTTATTTAAAAAAAGCGTTTGATTCTATTAAGCAGGATACCTTGATTAGTAAACTGTCGTTTTATGGAATTAAAGGTGTTTCTTTAGATTTGAAACTTAGTTACTTGAATTGTCAGTTGCAATGCACGTGTTTTAATGGATTTTGGTCCGTCCGAATAAATTTTATATGGGGTTCTATAGGGGTCTATTTTAGACACTCTGTACATTAATATTCATAATAATGATACTGTATGTATGCGAAACAGTACTAAAATTGTTTTGCATGCCGACGACACAAGTTTATTTTTTGTGGTCCATTTTTACGTGATCTTGAAATTACTGCTAACACGTGGCTCAACGAATTATCGGACTAATCAATTCCAGTTAAATTTTACGAAAAAAATATATGCAATGCTTAAGCCACAAAGTAAACCTGATGATTGTGAAATGATTTTAAAATTCCGAGAATCTGATTGAGCGAATCAACATCTATAAATACTTAGGATTTATTTTTGAAGAAAATCTAAGCTGGACACCTTATATGAATAAAATTCACGCGAGAAGCTCTAGATATATTAGCATTTTATACAAAATAAAACAGATTTTTTTTAAATTCTGGCTAAAACGTCAGTCGTGCTATACATTTGTGAACTTTCATCTTTATTACTGTATATTAGTTTGGGGATCAACAACTAAAATTAAATTGATTGATTGTTTCTTCTGCAAATATGTCGTACGTTGCATTGAAAACCTTCAGCTTACTGAACACACAGCACTCTTCTTTTTTAAACTGTTTTGTAACTATCAGTAATATATTCCTCCTTAACTTCCAATGCGTATCTATATTGAAAACAATTAAGAGCCAGTCACGTTTCTCGACGCACATTATATTAAATAGCAATACAATCTTGGGCTTTGGTCCAGGACAAATTCTGGACATCATCAATGAGCATTTTTTATATGGGTGTCCTTAAAAAAAATTACAACCGTTATGGAAATGATTTCAGATTGTGCTTCGAGACACAGCTTCAAAAATATAATACAACGGTACCTTCTGTGATGTCACGTTGAGTAAATACTTAGATATAATGTTTTTACTGTGTGCGAGTTGTAATGCGTGGTTCATTTTGCCTTTATAAGATGTTAGGGCAAGCACTGAGGATTGTATAAACTCTGTAAAAAATATGGTGTTCTGATTGCTGTGGATGTGCTACTACTTCTTCTTGTACATTTTAATGTGTTGTATGTTTTTGCATGCTGAGCAGTGTAAGCTGGTGCATCAACCAAAATCAATGTTCTTTTTGTTGTTTTTTTTACCCTAGAACTTGTGTCTAAGTGGCACTACTTCAAGTCAGTAACTTTCGGAGCCCCCAGGAGGGGCTCCGAAAGTTACTAACTGCCTCCAGTCTTCCGGAATCTCTCTAGATTGCCGGGGCCGTCCGCGAAGAAGTTCACTGGGCGCTCCAGAGGTACCCGTCACCACACCAGAGGAGCCAACGCTGAGTTACGCCGCCATGGCCCGTAGACTGCCGCCTGCTACCCGCCAATACCAGGCGTAACCCCAACGGGACGATCTGACGCCGCTGTACCCTTGCTGGGAAAACCCGACGTATGGGGACGGACGAATAGCGGTCGCTGTGCTACCAGTGCGGGGAAGCCGATCATATTTACCGCCGTTCCCGCTTACCGGCAAATCAGACTGCGCACCTTCCACCCAAACGACCCCCAAATACGCTACGTTGAGCGACTGCGGGAGATTGAAGGGTACCTCCAACGCACTCAGTCTTTCCCTACTGCACCTTGCCGCGCGTCCCGGTCGCCATCACCACGACATTCAGCTTCGCCGAAGCACGGACCCTATCGTGGGAGCCGGTTACCCTTGCTCGCCGGAAAAACTAAGAACGGCAACCCCTAGAAGTGGATTTGCCGTAGACCAACGACATAATGAGCCTAAAGGACGCCGGAGACCTCCCACGCGACCGACGTCATGCATCGGAGCGACGCTACTACAATGGTGTCCAAGAGCCTCAACGGGACGTCGGCCACGAGACATTGGCACTCTTGGACACCGGAGCATACCACTCCGTCCTGAGTGGGAGGCTTTCACGCTACCTTCAGAAAGTGACGACGCCGTGGAATGGCCCGCAAATATGAGCCTCCGCAGTTTACCTAATAACTCCGTCAGGAATGTACAGTCGGGGACAAAAGTCTCCAGGACACGCGAGCTGCGACTGAAACGCATTGCTCTGCCATCTGCCGGTGGGTCGCCTGGTTTCGAGATCACAGAAAAGCGCATGCGCGTCCTACTGTGCCTGCCAACATGTGCGCTTTCCCGCTCTTCTGCGACGCGGCGCCTAACTCGGAATCGGGCGCGTGGTACCGCCTCGGAGATAACGCTTACTGACATGGCACATATCAAGCAAGAAGTCACGGCATCTCAACTGAGCGATAAGCTCAACTGGTTATAAAGCAAGGTACGCTGACACGGCGAAATGCGGCGAAATGCCCCAGGCGGTATCTCGAGTTTCGGAATGTGTAGCAGACGCTCGTCAGCTGCCAGCGCAATCTTCGAGGCGGTACCACGCGCCCGATTCCGAGTTAGGCACTGTGCCGCAGAAGAGCGGGAAAACAGACATGTTTGCAGGCAGAGTAGGACGCGCATGCGCTTTTGTGTGATCTCGAAACCAGGCCACCCGCCGGCAGATGGCAGAGCGATGCGTTTCGGCCGCAGCTCGCACGTCCTGGAGACTTTTGTCCCCGACTGTACACTGCGCGTGTTGAGACCCATGGTGAGCCCTGCCCCAAGAATGTCGTCGTTTTGAAAGACTGTGCGAGGGACATTATCCTCGGAATGGATCTTCTACGTGAGTACGCCGCCGTAATCGATCTGGCAGCAAACCTGTTGACACTGGGAAAACCTGCCGAAACACCGGAAGAACCCAACGTCACGTCCTCGAAAGCACGTGAACGTACCGCCATGGTCAAGCATTTTCGTACCCGTCGGGACAGATAAAGCTGCATGCGGCCAAGTTCTGCTCGAGGGAAGTGTCCAGTCGTTTCTAGAGAGAGGAAGCTGTGTAGTAATAGTAAAAACAAATCTTCAAAGTGGGCGTGCTATGGTCCTGGTTAGAAATTTTCCACAAGAGCCGCAACAGCCCCCGGAAGGTATCGCGAACTCCGGAACTCAGCTGCGATCGCTGCACCTTCTGAAAAGCCGATTTCATCGCAGCACGAGAGAACATCGCCCTCCGAACTTCACATTGACCCGAAGCTTCCGGCCACTGAAAGAAAATGACTGCTTGACTTTTTGGGCGGACTTGGCAATTGTTTCGCCACGCCAGGGATGCGACAAACAACGGTGGCGAAGCACCGCATCGATACTGAGGACGATGTGCTCCTTCTGCTCCAAGAAGACGCCCCGTATCACGAAGACGCGCATCGTTACTAACGACGATGCGCCCCATAGAGAATCACCGTACCGAGTCTCCTTGAAGAGACTCGGTACGGCGATTTAAGATCAAGTCCAGAGGATGATTCAAGATCAAGTCCAGAAAATGCTCAACGACGACATCACTTAACCTTCAAGATGCTTGTGCGCGTCCACAGCCATCTTTGCAAAGAAAGACTAGATCTGTAGATGCTGTGTGGACCATCGTGTTTGAAAAAAAAAAAAAAAATCCCTGCCCGCTATCCCACATCGACGATACTTTAAACCTGCTGCTCCACTTCCGATATCTTTCGTCGCTGAACATGAAAAGTGGCTACTTAAAAGATTGAGGTCAACGATTGTGACCACGAAAAAAACTGCCTTCGTCACGCCAGACAGACTGTACGAGTTCAAAGTGAAGCAGCCACCTTCCAGCGTGTCGAGGACACTTTGCTGGCAGGTCTGAAATGGCAGGTCTTCCTCGTCTATCTTGACGATGTTGAAGTACTTACACGGGTTCTCGACAAACACCGTAAACGATTGCGAGCCGTGCTTCAATCTATCAAGACCGCCGGCCTTTACTCAAGCCCACAAAGTGCCGGTTTGCCTATGATGAACTAAAGTTCCTTGGCCATGTCGTGAGCAACGATATGCGTCCAGACCCCGATCAGACGCGTGCAGTAGCTCGGATTTACGCCTGCATCTGACAAGAAGGCGGGAAGCAGATTTCTTGGACACTGTGTGACTACTACAGGCGGTTTGTTCGAGACTTCGCCAAGCTGTCAGCACCGTTGACGCACCTCTGAACGGACTCAGTAACGTTTGAGTGCAAAGAGAAACACCAGCGGTCATTCGATGAGTGCAGACGAACACTCCAGACGCCCCCGATTCTAGGCCATTACGACCAGTTCGCTGAAACAGAAATTCACACGGATGCTATTAACACCAGACTCTGCGTAGTACTGGTCCAAAGGCAGGAGGACGCAGAGAAAGAAATCGTCTACGCAAGTCGGACGTTGTCTGAGGCGGAGAGAATCTACCAAACGACTGAAAAGGAGTGCTTTATTGTCTTCTTGGCAGTAACGAAGTTCTGCCCGTATATGTATGAGAGTCCTTTCCGCGTCGTCAGAGGCCACCATTCGC